GCTAATGAAGCTTGTTGCTACTCCTTAAGTGCCCTTTTTCCTGCTTCCATCATTCTCTGTTTCTGCAATACATTCTCTGTTTCTGCAATATTTCGAAGTGATTATTTTCTGTTGATCAACTAATAGTCGGAGCAAAACAAACAAACAAGTAAAATATTAGATCTAGACAAACATAAGTGCCAAATGAAAGCGTTAACATTACTATTGTAGGTATGGAATAGAATAGTTATTCAAGTTCGGTATAGTTTTTTTAAACCTTTCTGAGATGTGGACGAGATTCCAGCTATTATATGTCTCTGTTATATGTTTGTGTTGTCTAAGAAATAAAAGTTGAGTGTGCCAATATTTTTCCATTATTCAAAAAAGAAAAGAGCTTGTTCTAAGAAGAGGAGAACCTAAAATGAAATAATAATCAAATGTTCTACTTTATGCTTTCGAAATGGTTTGTAATAGGTATGTAGATGAAGAAAACAGCAATTTAAGTGTCATGAAAAAATCAAAATCAGGAACATGAGGGATAGAAAATGAAGGTAGCAGCACCCATTTACGCTTCAAAATGGGCCATTTTATTCGACCAGTTTTGGTAGTTTGGTAAGCGAAATGACCGCGTAATAAACATTAGCTTGCTGTTATGTCAAAGGAGAGGCCGAAAAGGCACTGTCTGGAAACACTTGGAGTAGTGCTCGTAAAAAAGAGTAGCACGTCTTGCGTAAAATTGATATAAGAAGTGTTGGGCTCATTTTCGAAAACCGTTTTCCCGCACAAGCTTATTTGAAAATAGCGAGTGAAGTTGGAATTTTTTTCGATAACTCTTGATATGGACAGTTAAATAATTATCAATTAAGCAGAGTTTCACTCCGAGGAAAACTATTTTTTGATATTTTCATTCATACTAGGGCAATTCATTGCTTTGAATAGTGCTGATGGCATATCGACATAAAGTCACTTGTTCTAACTTATTAGAACTCTCCTTTTCACCGCAATGATTTGAAAATGCTGCGGGTTCGAGAAAGTACTCCTATAGCATAGTCCACCTTGTCACTTTTTAGGATTTAGCTGACTAGGAGCAGTCTGCTTTCTGTTTCGACCTCAGCCTT